TGTCTAGGCCGATACATACATACATACATATATGTGTATGTATATGTATATACACACACATACAAAATATATACATATGTACAATATATATACGCATGTGTGTATACATATCAACCCTTAAAAGAATGTTCTACTTCTGTATCTATGGTTGATTACAAGGGATACATATCAAAATCACCCTGCGTAGTTTTTTCAGAATAGCCTGCTAGGACCCTGAACCAGGCTTAATCAGAACCTCTGGAGGTGACAATCTGGCACGTTTTGAAACTTACCGACTATGGCACGTATTACTCGCTATTTTAGATTTTGTATTTGCCCTACTATATATCACTGTTACAACTATAGACAGTGCTTTACATTTTTAAAACTGGACAGTTTAAAATAAACTTGTAAACAAAGAAAGTCTGTATTAATGTTCAGATTTCTTGAATACTGTAAGGTCATTTACACAGTATTTGTTTTTAATCAGCTATATTGAGGTATAATTTATATACAATAAAACCTACTAACTTGAAGCGCACAATGGATGCATTTTGATCGATGTTTAGAGTTATGTAACCACCACCATGACCACGATACGGAACAATTCCATAACCCCCAAAAGCTCCTCGTACCTCTTTTCAGTCAATTCCCTATTGCCATGGGGTAAACCAGTTGCAATACCTCTTGATGTGGCTTTTGGAAGATAAAATTCAACCCATTGACCTCTGTCTAAAAACTTTCACATGCTCACTCCACAAATTACATACTACAAATGATATTCTACAAATTCAAAGAAATTTAGAGAACATCGAACCCTTAAAAGAATAATAGTCTCTAAATAAGTAGTAGTATTTTTGACCTTTGCTAGCTACTGCAAAATAGTCTCCCACCCTCAGACAGATATTAAAAACATACAAAAGGGAAAAACACCTTTTTAGTTCTTATTTCAGGTTCGATCCAAATCAAGCAACAATAACTTCTTACTAACTATAAACATCTAATTTTTCAAAAATGCTTTTAAAAAATTTACCTGTTCTATTCGGTGTCTTGTCTGTAGATAAGGGTCATATCTGGCACGGATAGCTCGCATGGAGGTTGGCTGAGTAAAAAGGAAAAAAATATTGTTATGCTCACATCAGATTAAAAGCAAAAAGTAGTTTCAGAAGAATTGTATTAGAGGTAAAATTCTCTATGGTTTTGAATACTAAAAACCTGGCTTGTACCTATCTTCTTTTCTTAGTTCAAAACAATGTCCTAAACAGCATCTGGCTGGTCCCCACTCCCCTGTCATAGTATCTCAACAGCAGGGTTTCTCCTTGGATCGTGCTTGTCTTTTGTGTAAATACTTACGGAATGCCCAGGGTCACCAAAGTGTTTTACTGCTCACAGACATGGATGTGCATGCATTATTCAAAAGAGTTATATGGCAAAATAACTTTTAAATAAGGTTCTTAAATACAACATAGTTTGTAATGGCTTAACAAATAGCTTTATACTCTTGTCATACAATGGAATACTCTTCACCCACAAAACAATGTACTGATATAAAATGTTTGCTAAGATGTATTATTAAATGAAAAGGGCAAAGTGCAGAACAGTGTTTTGATATGCTACCTTATAAATAAAAAAGTAGGATAAAGAATACGAACAGGTTGAGCATCCCTAATCTGAAAATCTGAAACCTCAAATGCTCCCAAATCCAAAAGTTTCTGAGTGATGACATGATACAAGTGGAAAATTCCACATGCAATTACTGAACACAAACTTTGTTTCATGTAAAAAATTATTTAAAATATTGTACAAAATTACCTTCAGGCTAGGTGTATATAAAACCTAAATGAATTTCATGTTTAGACTTGGGTCCCATCCCCAAGATAACTCATTACACATGCAAATATTCCAAAATCTGGAAAAATCTGAAATGTAAAACATGTCTGGTCCCAAGCATTTCGGATAAGGGATACTCAACCTGTATATGTGTTCCTCTAAAGTATCTTTGCAGGAAGCAGGGGAAACAGATAACACTGACTATCAGGGATGGAACAGAAAAGGGTGGTTAGGGGACAGAAATGAGGGAGAGTCTTTTCACTGAATAATTCCTTTTGCGTTTTTAAAAATTTGAACCCTGGAGAACCGGGAAAAAATGAAAACATACATGAGAAGAAAAAGTCACATGGTTTGCTGGTTTCTGACCTCTTCTGAGGACGGGACTCCTTCAAAAGTGGCTCACTGGTCTCCTGCTTTCTCTCTTATCCTCACTCTACCCTTTCTCCATGTGGCCATCAAGATGATCTTTATAAAACGTAGATGGATTGAATCATGCTCCTGCTTTAAATCCTAATGGCTTCTCATGACACCTATACTAAAATCCAAACTCCTCACTCACCGTGGCTTACAAACCCCCACCTCAGCTACCTCCCAACCTCGTGCTTCCTCTCACCCACTGTGTTCCAGAATACTCTACCACCTTTCCCACGTTGGGCCTTTGTTCTAGCTACTTCTCTGCTAGGAATGCTCTTTCCTGATATTAGAACTGGCTCCTCCTTTTCATTCAGGATTCAGCTTAAACATCGTCTGCTTACAGAATCCCTTCCCAACCACCAAAGCTAAACTATCTCCAGCTCCCATTATCTTCCTTAATTTCACTTCTCTGCTTAGCATTTATTAGTACCTGGTATTTTTCTTGTTTGTTTCTTTACTGTCTATCTTCCATTATCAGAATGTAAATTCCACAAAGCCAAGGACCTTGTCAGTTTTTTCACTGCTAAAGAGACAGTACAATGTAGTGGTGAGAGGTACAGAGTTCAGAACCTGGTTGTCACTTACTAGCAGTGTGTCTCTGGGCCTTCTATGCCTCAGTTTTCTCATTTGTACAGTGCTGGGATATATTAATAATAAGGGCTTATGTAAGTATTTCTCCTGTGACTAGAACAAGATATGGTAGTAGTAGACACTGAGCAAACATTTGATGAATGAATAGCTTTTATAATCAAGAAAAAAATAAAAATTCTAAGAAAGCCAGTACTTGTAAAACCATACCAACCGCACCATGGGTAAAATATGATGTAACACTTCATCAGGACAACATCCAATGATCTCACCTCATATCCAGTATAAGACTGCGTTGAATACTCAAAGTCTGAGTCAGGCCCACCAGGGCAGTATCTGCCAATACAACAAGGGAACAAGAATGTCAGATACAAAACTCAGTTCAACAGTCGAGTTCAACTATCTACAGTCTTCAAAAAATCCTGGTATCAAATGAGTTGCATTTCCAAAGAAGAGTCTACCTTTGCAGTTATCTTTAAATAATGTATATTCTAATAACAAGTAAACAAGTTAAATATGTAAAGGAACACTATTATGTTCATTTTCAAAATACTGCAGTCACTAGTATGTCAGAGGTTTAAGCTTTTAGGGGCAAATAACAGGAACTAAGTTTCCCTAAGTTTGGATCAATACTCACAGTGTTCTCTTGGTAGCCACACTCAAGAAAATCCTTCTCCCATTTAATCTTCCTATCTAAAATCATGCATACTCTTCTGCTAATTATTCCAAATAGTTAAGTTTCAGAAATCTGCAGGTTTTTTATAAGGAGCATTTTTTATTATGATACTTTTCTCATCCAAATGCTCTTTCTTTCTTTATTTTTTGAGACAGGGTCTTGCTCTGTTGCCTCAGCTAGAGTGCAGTGGCATTATCACAGCTCATTGCAACCTCAAACTTCCGGGCTCAAGCGATCCTCCTGCCTCAGCATCCCAAGTAGCTGGGACTATAGGCGGGCAACCATTATGCCTGGCTAATTTTTCTATTTTTCGTAGAGACAGGATCTTGCTCTGTTGCCCAGGCTGGTCTCTAACTCCTGACCCCAAGCAATCTACCTGCCTTGGCCTCCCAAAGTGCTAGAATTACAGGTGTGAGCCACCAAGCCCGACCCTAAATTCACTTTAAATTTCTGACATTTGGAATTTAGGCAGCTCTTATTTCCACATTTCATTTATCAAGTTAACAGAATGTCTACTGTTTTGAGTTCCATAACCTATGTGTTTTTTTAATGCATATTGCAACAAATTAAAATATTCATATGTTCCAATTTTAAGCACTGAAATATCCTATCATTAGTTGCTTGTCTCAAAGAACAAATCTATAAATCTGTTAAATCAAAGTTTTAGAAATTACCAGCATGCACTGATCAAAGGCTCTAAGGGACATACTAGTTCAATGAAAATACACACACACACAAACTTAATAAAATCACCCTACTTACACACATATATTTCCTGTAAAACTGATGTGTGGACATCTGTGGGGTTTGCACATCACAGCCACAACAGCAATCTATAAAAGAAAAACTAATCTTAAAAAGCTATTATAGAATAATTAGTATAAAATTCTAGAGAATGGTTATCCCTGAGAAGGAGGGAGAGGAATGGAAACAGAGAGTGGCACACAAGGGGCTTTGAAGGTATTGATAATGCTGTGTTTCTTAAGCTGGGCACTGGGTCCAAGGGTGATCTCTTTTTAATATTAATAGTCTTTAAAATGTACATATGTATTATATAATGAGTCTGTATTATATTATACAATAAATTAAGTGCAAAATAAGGAATTAATTTTTTTAAGCCACAGTGATTCTTATTCTTTCTTTCTCTTTTACTGTTTTACTAAAATAGACTACAAGAAAAAATTACTTTATGCAATTCTATGAAATTATATATAAACCTAACCTTCGTAACTCAAACTCCTCATGGACACACTAGATCTCAATATTTATAGCAGGGAGGATTAAGTTAGGGACTTAACGTTTCACAGGGTCTGTGTATAAAATATTCTGGGGGGTCTGACAGAGACTAAGTGGAGCAAGCAAAGAAGGTGGTGGTAGAGATACAAGACTGGTTACATCTGAAGCGCTTGGTCAAATAAGGATACACATTAAAGCTAATGCAAGCCAGGTTTCTCATTGTCAGAGAACGAAGTTATAAATATGGAAAGGGAAAGAACTAGAATGAACTCTGTAGGCTGGACAGAATGGAAGGTGCTGTGAACTCAGTTTTTAACATAAATAGATTGATATACAAATAAATATAAATGAAAATGTATTACGTGTATGTATGCATGTATGTAGCTATACCCACATATGTCCTAGCTTGGTCCACTGAGAGGGTCTGGGAGCGGCAACTCCCTAATAGCAGTAAGCACACCTAGCACTAAGATCTTGGTTTCTAAATATGCTTCTCCACTAAAAGTAACCAGGGCTCCTTAGAAAAATGGCTGATTCCAGGGCTGGGGCAAAGAATGTACAAGATGAGCCTGGAACATTTCATTGTGCCAGAAAGCTAGAAACTGCCCAAAGAATGATGGGGACATTTCAAAAAGACATAGAAATCAGCTGGAAAGAGCTCTCACTGGTCAAATCTAGGATAATTTGTATATCAAAACAAATATGGTAATAGATTATAGCTCACCAAATAGGAAACTGTTAATTCATTCATACAAATAAATGAATGAGTGAATTGGAAGCTTGATGAGGAACAGGATATTTACCTAGTTTCAAAATACTTCTCCATACAACACTTCTTAATTACAAAGTGGAAAAAAACAACTTTACAGAGAAGTCTGGTGAGTAACATCAGTGATAGGACAAACTGAAGCTGTACCACCTGACGGGAGACAACAAGAACACAGTATCCCTTATGCGATGCTCCTGCCAAAGACGTATAACCTGGATCTAATTACGATGAAACATTTGATTAACCCAAATTGAGGGGACATGCTACAAAATAACTTGCCTGAAATCTTCAAAAATGTTAAGGGAATGAAGTCAAGTAAAGACAGAGCAAGTGTCCAGTCTGAAGAGCCATGACAACTACATTCAACACGTGATTCTGAACTGGGTCCAGTTGGACATGATTGAAACAGCTGGTGAACTCTGAATGAGGCCTGAGGATTAGATGACAGTAATGCATCAGCGTTAAATTCCTGGTTTTGATGGCTGTACTGTGGTGATGTAAGAAAATGTCCTTGTTTGTACGAAATATACAGTAAAGTATTCAAAGGCATAGGCTTTGCAACTTACTCTGAAAATGGTTCACAGAAAAAGTTCTTTGTACTGTACTTTCAACTTTTCTATAAGTTTGTGATTATTTTTCATAATAAAAATTTTAAGATTTAACTTATTAAACAGTGATTTATAGAAATCTCCAAATAAATAATTTTGCATGAAATTGCATACCACTGATAAGGTCAGTCCAATTCAACGATCTTTTATCGAGTCTAGTATACATGCCAGGTTCTGTGCTGTTTTCTCAGATGAAGTATCAACTGCCATCAGTCTGGCGTATTCACTGTTCCCTGCATGCACCACACCTTTCTTGCCATTTCTACCTCTGTGCCTTAACTCCCTGTGCCCTCACTCCCATGGCTTCCCCAGTCTGCTCTTCTTGGCTCTTAGGTCAAGCAAGCACCATGCTTTCTCCTGGGCCTTCCTTAGTCTCTTTTGCTGCAGGGGCATCTCTGTCCTGTGGACTCCCATAGCACTCACAATTAACATATATAGAACTACTCTGCATCATTAACTACCTTTTAAAAGTACCTTCTGTCAGCATCAATTATACTGAAAGCTACCACTTAAGATGGCCCACAGCTCCAGCACAGCCTGTAACACAAGGACTTCATTGGTCTGAGTCTTCCACCTCCACCTCACTATCTGGGCGTTACATGGAGGCAGGGCTTTCTGCCAGGACAGATACAGTGTGTCAATATGTCATGATCACTCACCCCACTGGCAGTTCTGATGGGTTTTGCCTTTAACTTGGGAACCAAGACCTTGCGATACTGAGGAGGGACGGCAGCAATGATATCCACCAGGCGGGGCTGTGCGGAAAGGCCATATTTGGCAGCTGTTCTGGTTTTCACCCTGAAAGTAAAGCATCTGGCATTATCAAGATCACAATATTTTAAGGACAAGCTACTAAAAGGATGACTTATAAATAACATCATTAACTCTTGTCATTCCTCTATCCCTTCACCATGTGACAAGAGTGGCTTTAAGTCTGCTAATATCAGGAAATGGAAGAATAAAATTCATGTATGAATGATTTCCTCTTCTCACCCTCAAGTACCTGAAAGAAAACCAGAGGACTATGGAGGGTGAAGGGCCCAGGACAATGACACAAGGTAGGTCTAGTTCAAAATAGTGCTCTAGCTTCAAAGGACTGTTCTGGCTCTACCTTTTCTCAACCTTAGCACTACTTGACATTTGGGACCAGATAATTCTCTGTTGTCCAGTGCATTGTAGCATATTTAGCAGCATCCTTGGCCTGTACCGATTAGTACCCTTCTTCCTGTTGTAACAACCAAAAATGTCTTTAGACATTGCCAAATGTCTCCTGGGGAGGAAATCACTTGTTTGAGAACTACTGTCTTAGAAAAAAAAAAAAAAAAAAAAATCAGGGAAAGCTATGCAGAACCAAATAGGAAATAAAGTATACACTTTTGAAAGTTTAAAAATACTCTTTCTAATACAAAATATTATATACATAAAGAAGAGAACATAAAACATATAAATATACTTTAACAATTATAAAGCAACGACTTCTATATGCCCTTTCCTGATTGTAACCTCATCTCTAACCCCCAGAAGTAACCTTTGTCCTAATAATTCCTTTGCTTTTCTCTATAATTTTACCAGCTTTTCTTTTCTTTGTGCCTGCTAGCCAAATCTGGACAGTCACCCTGTCTTCTAATTTTAATCTATCTAGAAATACCTGTGGGGTGCTCACATTATTTTCAACAAATGTTAACTGAATACCTAATGTGTACAAGAGACTACCTCAGTACTTGGTATGTCAGAAGGTACAAGGCATAGTCATTTCATGTTCTATTTGCGTGTTGGCAGACAGGCATACAAAAAAAAAGTAAATGTATAAATGAAAACATATGTGATAGAACACCTCCCCCCACAACAATGAATGCTTGCAGAGTTCAGAGATGAATTTAATGTGTGCTAGGGAGAGAGTCATGAAAAATGGGCACAGAAGAGTAGACCTCAGACAGGCAGTGAAGACACAGAGATAACACTGAGAGCAGACAGGTTGGGCTGGCTTATGTGAAGATGCAAAAACAGGAATGCACATATCTTAAGAACTATGAGTAGACCGACTTGAAAGAAAGCAGAAGATTTTCAATGTGAAGGTACAGAAGTTTAAAAACTTGGAAAAGTAGGTTGAAGCCAGACTGAGGGCTTACATAATAGACTGGGGACATCTGAGTAGGGCTAATTTTAAGGAAGATGGTGGCTTTAGCTTTAGATGTGCTAAATTAAAGAGAATGACAAAAATATATAAGAAATAGAAATGTTCACTAGAAATCAAAGATTTGTATAATTAGAGGTGTAACCAACAAAAACAGAAAGAAAAACTGCTAAAGACACTACAATCAGTAAAATATAATGTCTGCATAGTCAAAAGAGGATAATTATTTACTCATATATTCCTTTAGCAAATGTTTAACAGCCATGATGTTTCAAGTGCAGTATCTCAAGTAACAGAGAATAGGGTCTGCAAAAAGGTCATGCATGTGGTGATTAGATGAGCTGGGGTTTGGGGTAAAACCTTTTCATTAGGGAAGATCTATACAGAAAGAATATATAGTTAAAAAAACAGATGCAGAGATGAAAGACCACTCTTATTTGAGGGTATAGCAAAGTCTATGCTGAACATGATTGCGGAGAGGAAGTAGATGAACATGTCAAAGAGGTGCTAAAGCAGGGAAGGGTTGGATTAGATCAAGGGCTGCAAAGGGAAGGTTTTCCTGGTAGAGAGAGGGCTGCTGCTTCTGCTGAGACAGTAGGGAAGAGGAGGATGTGAAGTGATGTAGCCAAGAAGACAGATCTGGAGACGGATGACCTAACTGCAAATCCCAGCTTTGCCAATCACCAGTTATCGACCCCTGGAAAAATTACTTAACCTCTCTATGCCTCACAATACCCACCTGTCAAATGAGGCTGATATCAGTACCTACCTCACGCAGTTTTTGAAAGAATTAACAGAGCTAATATATACAATGTACTAATTACAGTGCCTGGAATACAGTAAGTGCCCAATAAACGTCAGAAGCTATTAGCATTATTAGGCTATGAGACAATTCCGCCACAAAGAAATGAGTGACAGGGCAAGGCAGAAAGCTAAAATTCTTAGGTAAAAGGAAACATGAGATAGAAAACAAGTAGTATTGGACAATTTCACAAAAGAGCTCCACTACCTAAGAACAACGTCGCTCCCTTTTTACAGAGCCACTTACTTATTTAGATCGATGTCTTTCCCCTGTTCGTGGGCTTCTATCAGTTGTTTAATAACATCTCCTATAGTCAGCATCATCAGCTCAGCAGGGCTGAGATCTCCTGGAAAGATAATATTCAACAATGTCGAAAATCATATTATTCAATGAAGATTTTAAAACTTGATTTAGTAGCAGTTTTCCTTCCAAAATCATTCCAAATATGCCAGATGAAAGGCTCAAGTTTACAAGACACTAAACCTCTATTGTTTACGATTTGATCATATCTTTTGTATCTTTAATTTAAAACAAACCTGGTTTTAGCCATAAATTAGAGAAGGTCCCTTTAAAAACACATACACTACAAGACTATTACAGATAGAGTAGAAACAAACATGAGGAGAAAGAACCTAATTATACAGGAAAGAACCAAAGTAGTTAAATATCTTCCCTTTATCTCCAGATTTGTAATTATGAATATTTACATGATACTTAAGAGTTCATGAAGAACATTTAGATGCATTAATTCAACTGATTCTCAGAACAAAGTCAGGTAGATAGAACAGGAATATTTGCCAACGCTACCAAGGGGTGAAATTGAAACTCAAACATAGGTGTCTGTAGAGGTAGTACTGCAAAGTAGGGGTGTAGGTTATATGCTTACCTAAGGATCTTAATGCATTTCTAAAATATTGTCTGCCCACTATTATGACTTCTCCTGGCAAGCGGGGCTCCCCTTCTCATCCAAAGGCAATAGCAGAAGCTAACATGTTCTTTTATGATCCCATTCCCTCAATCACAGTTCAATGATTGGTTTAAGATTGGGCGTATATCCAAGCCAGACAAATCTAAGCTCTTTTCCCAAGGGCAAAAAATGCCAGTCTTTTCCCAGTGACAAAAGCTGAGGGATTTCAGCTTGGAGGCTGTCTGCAAGCACGCTTCTTGCCTGTAGGGAAAGCTAGCATGCAAAGATAACAAAACCATCAGACAGAAGTATGACTAAAGCCCTGGCTGTTATGGAACCCTTTCATTTACTCTTTATCTCATTTGAAACCTCACAATAACACTGTAAGGTAGGTACTGTTATCCCATTTCACAGATGTGAAAAATGAGGCTAAGGCAAGTTAAAACACCATCGTAAACAGCATAGTTAAGACTCAAATCCTGGTCTTTTCACCACAGTTTCCACACTTTTGTCACTGCACCACATTGCCTCTAATTAATGAGGCAAGGCTAACACATACAAAATGATTCGAGAGAAAAAAGTCCATCTATAATCAAAGGCTTAATGCTTTCCAAACCATGCAAATCAGCACTTCCGAGTTCTACAAAGGTGCCTTAGGGGCCATACAACAGAGGCAGGATTGGTGGTGGTAGTGGCAGAGGAAGAGGTAGGGGGAGAGGAAAAAAAGGGAGGGGTCTCTTTCTCCACTTCAGCGACAGCAGCTATGCTTTCATTATATTTATGTATCGAAGTTCTGCATAATAATTTGTTTGGAGGGTAGAAGGGGGGGGTTCAGCTGATTAAAAATAGATAAGATTTAAAAACCACTTATATAGTCCTTGAGTGCATCAAAAATTAACAGCAGGAGTAAATTAGCAGGAAAAGGCTTCATGGAGGACATGGCACAAGGTTCTTTAAACAGGCAGGATTTAGATACACAAAACAGAAGGCAATCCAGAAGTAATAGGCATAGGAATTACACATCTTTGTGTGTAGAAGCACTGCCTAACGAGAACACAGGCTTTCTGATAGGGTACAGTAAAGAACAGATTAGAGGGTACGCTGGCCACCAGGCAAAGGCATTTAAATGGAATGCAATAGACAAAAAATTACATATTCTCAACTTTGGAAATAAAAAAATGAAAGTAATGTTTAAGGAAAGTGAGAACATTAACACTACAAAGAATGATTCAGGGTGGTATGTGGTGGCTCACACCAGTAATCCTAGCACTTTGGGATGCTAAGGCAAGAGGACTGCTTGAGGCCAGGAGTTTGAGATCAACCTGGACAACATGGTGAGACCATGTCTCTACAAAAAAATAAAATTAGAGAGGCATGGTGGAGTGCACCTGTAGTCCTAGCTACTCAGGAGGCTGAGGTGGGAGGATTGCTTGAGCCCAGGAGTTTGAGGTTGCAGTGAGCTACGATTATGCCATTGCACTCCAGCTTGGGCAAAAGAATGATTCAGAAGGTGAAAAGAATGCATATAATCTGGATAATAAGTAAAAGACTCTTGAAAGGCGACATTGTTTCAAAAAAAAAAACAAACCCACAAGATTTAAGAAAGCCTCCAGTCTTAACCCCTACTGCCTGTGTGATAAAGGGAAGATAAACGACTTCTGGGTGCTCATTTCCATATCTGTCAAATTGGAAAAATACATACAAATCTCACAAGACTATTGTAAGAATCAACTGAAATAATGTATACGAAAGCCAAAGTACTATTCAAACATTAGTTATTGCTGAAGGCGGGTTAGGAGGATGGTAGCCAGAATGAGGAGGAATAAACAATTTCCAGAGGCAATTTCTAGGTAGAAACTAACAAGGCTTGGTGACAGATGACCTTAAAAGAAGCCTAACAGACTGAAAAGGAGCAGGTAAGTTAGAGTGAGATAAGTTAATTTGGGGCATGCAAAATTTGATGCGACAAGACAACCCAAGGTAATGTGAACACTTGGAGCTGTTGCTTGGAGGGATAGCAGTTAATGCCAAGAGGCACAGTGATTAAGGACACATTTATTTTTCATTATAGGTTTTTTAAGGTCATAGATACAGCCTGACCAACTACCTCCATACCTCCTAAGTATAATTTTGGACTGGGAAAGTTACTTAACTCTTAATGTCAGCTTCATCTGTAAAATGGAGATGATACTAATAAATGCTCAATAAATGGTAGCTATTATGATAACCACTACCCTTATCTACCTTATTATACTGCTCAAATGAGTGTACACAGATAAGAATAGAACTTGTGAGAGAATTTAAAATTGACTCCACCCTGTTGAAAACTAAAGATAAATCGCCCCACGCTAACTCAGAAGGTAATACAAACGCTAATAACTACATGCACAACTGTTCCACAGAATCCAAGGATAAGTCAGGGTTTTTCACATTTTAATTTACAGCTTTAAAAGAAACTCTCAAATAAACAAACATCAAATATGTCGCAAAACAAATCTTAACAAATTAATAGTCCGAGAACCCGTTAAATCGACCGACCAACGTTAACTCCTTGGCGGGCATACTTTGGAATATAGGTTTCCCTGCCCTTTACGCAAAAGACATATAATGACTGCCAAAGAGGAACAGGGTAAGGGTAGGTTGGTTTAAAAAACACAACAGGTAAAACGAGAAGGCAGGAGGCTGAAATCGACAGACCGATTGACCCCAGGTGGTGTGCAACTGGACTAGGCAGCGGACTCCCGCGGGAAAAGTTGGGTTCAGCATCCGATCGCCCGAGCGTTCGCCCCTTTCCGACCATCCCCATTTTTTCCTCTCCCTCCCCTTTCATACCTTTCCGTTTCTGCTTCATTTCTGCCTCGTCGTAGAAGTTGCCACCACGGATAATACGGCTACCAACTCAGAGCATGGGGAAAGCTGACAGCCACAAAGCAACCCTGATCTGTCGTAAAATGACGGCCAATGTATCGTAAAGCTCTTCCCAGAAGACGGCGCGCGCAAAACCCCGCCCCATCCCTCTGACGCGACTACTCGGCCAGCGGGAGGCGGGAGAGGGGCGGTCTCGGCTGTGCGGCTCCGGACGTAAGGGCGATGGGGGAGCGTCTGTACGGAATGTCTAACTCGGGGTTAGAAAACTCGACCTGAGCAGTACAGCTGTGGGACAAAGCTGTGTGGAGGCTGCGCCAGGAAACCTAAGTGAGAGTGTGGAAGTGGGAGGTCTCTAAATGGGCGTGTAGGAGCTCAGGTGTGTCACATTCGGGGACGCTGGGTGGGAGCGTGAGTGGGCGAGACCACGGGAGGGTGAACCCTGTAGTGTTGTGGAATTTAAATTCAGAGACCGGAAAAGACCAGGCAGGAGTCAAGTAACAATCTGACGTGCAGGCTTCGAGGCCAGTTGGTCACCTTGGTCTCAGGTGAATGGCACATACCATCGATAACCCTCATGAAAGCTGTGGGTGGTGTCTCTTCAGAAAAACGCACGCACAAAATTTTGCAGAGTTTGGAGGCAGGACTTGGGATGGTGTTTTCTTGAAACGCATCCATGATCTCGTTTGTCCATGGGCCAGAGATTAAGAATCCCTCTCTTTACTAAAGATAGGAATATGTGATATCTTCAGTTCCTTCCCCCTGGAATTGAGGTAACGATGAATTTTTGACCTCACTGTGACACTGAAATTGGCCTGGTCAAGCTTTGTGAGTTCCCAACTTGCCAAATTCAGTGGTATTTTTCTGTCCTTATTGTCATCCTACTACCAATGAATATAAGTTATCTTCCGTGAAAATCTTTTATGATTGGGCCCTCCACTCTCTTGGTTTTTCTTCCCCTTCTCAGTCTCTTTCGTGGACTCCTCTGTCTCACCTTAAAATATTAGTGTTCTCCAGGGGTCACTCAGCCTTGTCTCTCCCGAGGTGATTCCCCGAGCTCCATAACTTTAAATACCATGTATCTGCTCCCAGGTTTATAATCCAACCCCAACATCTCCCCTGTTTGACATCTTGTTAGAGGTCTGATATGCATCTCAAACTTAACATGTCCAAAACAGAACTCTATTCCAAATCTGCTCTTTCCACACTCTTCCGTATCTAAAGGCACCATCATCCACCTGTCACTCTTTTACCTTAGATAGATAGTTAGATAGAATAGTACAGTTGTAACTTTAAATAGGGGTCAGGGTAGGCCTTATTGAGAATGTGTTATTTGAGCTAGTACTTGATGTGCAGGTATCTGGGGAAGGAGTATTTCAGGCTGAGGGAACAGTTAGTGCAAAGGCCCTGGGGTGAGAGGATGCCTGGTGTATTCAGGGAAAGTAAGGAGGCCAGTGTCCATGGAGCAATGAATGCCACAAGGTGAAACAGAGGTCAGAGAAGCAATGGGGGATGGGTGGGAACAGTGCAGCTCATGTAAGACCTTGCAGACCATTGAAAAGCCTTTGGCTTTTACTCTAGGTGAGATTATGAGCCACTGGAGTTTTAGCAAGAAATTATCTGATCTGATAATTTTAAAGCATATCTATTTGCTGTGTTGAGATTAGACTACAAGGGGCCATAGAAGTGGCTGTTACCTCACCCAGACGAGTGATTCCTGAACTTTGCTGCATGTTAGAATCATCTGGAGAGCAGTGAAAAATCCCAGTTGCCCGGGTCACGTTCCATACCTATTAAATCAGAATATCAAGCAGTGGGAACCAGGCATTAGTATGTTTAAAAGATTCTTGGGTGATTCCAATATGCAGCAGTTTAGGAACCACTAAATGAAGCCAGAGATGATTTTAACTCAAATCAGGGTAATAAGCAGTGGAGATGGTAAGAAGTGTTCAGATTCTCAACATAATTTGAAGTTTTTAACAAGACTTCTGACAGGTCATATATGGGATTTGGGAGAAAGACAGACATCAGTATCAAGTGTGACACCAAAGCTCTTGGACCAAAGGGCAGGAACAATGTAGTTTCCATTAGCCGAAATGGAGAAGACTAGGAAGGGTGGGGTGTCGGGAGGTCACTTTGGACCTGTTGTATTTTGGGATGCCTAGTGAGTAGTAAGACATGAAAGAGGTCAGGACTGGAGGTGTCAGTGGAGAGTTATAAGCACACAGGTGAAATATAAAGCTATGAAACAGGGTAAATGTGGAAAGGAAAGAGAAGAGACCAAGGACTAAGCCTTGGTGTATCCTATTATTAACAGGTTGGGGAGAAGAAAAATAACCAACAAAGGAGGCTGAGGAGGTGCCTCTAGGGAGGTGGGAAGAAAACTAGGAGAGTGTGGTTATCTGGAAGCCGAGTGAGGAAAGTATGTCAGGGAGGGAATGATCAGCCAGGTCCAGTGCTGCTGATGGGTCAAGGAGGATGGGAGCTGAAAGTTGACCGGGATCACTGGGGACTTTGACAAGAACAGTTTTGGTGGAATGGTAAGGGTGAAGGCTTGACTGGAGTAGGGTTATGACAGATTGAGAGGAGAGGAATTTGAGACAGTGAGTTTAGACAACTATTTTGAGAAGTCTTGTCATAAAGAAGTACAGAGAAATGGGGTAATAGGTGGCAGGGAAACTGAGGTAAAGGAGTATTTGTTAAAATGGAATAAATGACAGCAAGTTTAGCACACTGATAGGAATAATCCAATGGAGAGTGACAGTTATAAATTAAGAGAAGAAGGAAAAGTGCTCTACCTAGTCCTTCAGTGGGAGAGAGGGATGGGATCTGGCACACAGGGGAAGGGATTGGCCTTTAATGAGCACGTGATAATTCATCTATTAAGAGGCTTGAAGGCAGGTGGTTGGGTGTGATGATGGGGCTCTGTGGACGTTCTCTGTCAATTGCTTTACTATTTTCAGTGAGTTCAATGGAAATTTAGCGTGATCGAATGACCAAACTTCTAACAGGCCTAGCATTCAGGCGTCCAATAGCAGGTGCCAGGAATTACCATAAAGAATTGGGCAGCTTTAGAAACGTTCAAAATTGTTTTAATTATTATTTATTTATTTATTTTTGAGACAGAGTCTTGCTCTGTTGCCCAGGCTAGAGTGCCGTGGCGTCAGCCTAGCTCACAGCAACCTCCAACTCCTGGGCTCAAGCGATCCTCCTGCCTCAGCCTCCCGAGGAGCTGGGACTACAGGCATGTGCCAGCATCCCTGGCTAATTTTTTCTATATAAATTTTTAGTTATCTGGCTAATTTCTTTCTATTTTTAGTGGAGATGGGGGTCTTGCTCTTGCTCAGGCTGGTCTCGAACTCCTGACCTCAAGCGATCCTCCCACCTCGGCCACCCAGAGTGCTAGGATTACAGGCGTGAGCCACCACGCCCGACCTTAAGTTATTTTTAGTAGCACTTCTGAGTAAGAATGTAGTAAACTGTTGAAGCAAAGAAATATCCAGTAGAGGGAGAACTAAGCACACGTGACATGAATACGTGTAAGGTGTGATTTTGCTCAGAGAAAGGTACAAGATCCAACACTCGTGATGGTATTCATGTTGATTTTTTTTTTGTTTTGAACTTTATATTGGTATTCCTATGGTTTTATTATGGAGAAGGTATGTCATCTTGCCAAAAGTTCAAAGCAGTTTTAAAGACCACTGCCTAAAAACTTTTCTATTCTTTCCACATTTGACCTCTTTAGTTTCTGAATCCCCACTTTGGACTGAATACATATCTACAGTTACTGAGGGTCGTTCTGGTAATGGCCGAGTCGGCCTTTAACCGGAGTCAGCCTACAACCTGAGGCTGAAGGTTCAGAGAATGGCTTTTCCCTTGTACTCAGTGTGATTGTTTGGGTTGCCAGACACAGCAAAGTGGACTGTATTCTATTCTATTCTCTCTGGGATAGCACTTTAAAAATACTTTTTTCTGAGTTTTTAAAAATTATGTTCTTAAATTTTAAGTTTCAGAAAGGTACTTAAAGCTGTATGCCACTCATTTCTACAATCAAACAATCCAATGTTGTTTTATTTTTGGTGAATTTATTTATCATTTTATTTTTTTGCTGTACCAATTTACAGTTCCACCAGCCCTGTTAGGTTTAACTACTGTTTCAGTTTCTGGAACCCTGCAGCTCCTACTTACAACGTAAAATATTTAACAAAGGAATTCCTAAATGTTCACTAGAGGGACATTTCTCATCCTTTATTTACCAGAAATACTCTCAGCCATTTAAATCAAAGACTCTATAAAGGATATTTAGAGTTTTACTCCTTTGCTATAATTGGACCCACTCATAAACTTCCTAGGGAGATGGTAACCCACCCTATTTTTTAAAGCCTGTCTAGTTTGGGTGAATTTTATTTTTAGTGAGTTTCAAGATTTTGCATCAAGAATGTTTATTTTCATCTCCTATCGTCCATCTCTCCCAGTTATGTCTTATATTTGAGTGTCTTGGAACCAGCGCTTTATCTCTCTTGAAACTGGGCATTTTCCTGTTTGCCCAAGTGAGCCAGATCATCTGAATAGCCTTCCCCCTCAAACAAAGGATGCTGCAATCTATTTGAAAAGGAAAGAGCAGATCTGCCTGCTTATAGGAATAGGACAGAGAATGATGCAAGATCCCCAATTCACATATAATTTAAGTTTAAGCGAAAGGGGAAAATAGCACAAATCAGTATCTACAGGAGGAGATTGTGGTAAATAGCCCTCTAATGGCAAGTCGGTTTCACTTCTGCTGTATAAATGTGGCTTTGCAACCGTGGCCCCAAAGACCTACGTACCCCAGCTAGTTCCAAATATTTGTACCAAGGCAGAGAAGCCGCCACCGTCTCCTTTGTGGACTTCTGGAACCGAAGCAGAAATTCATTTTTTTCCCCTTCGGTGACATCTGGTAAGTTGTTTCTTTTATGTAATTTATACTGTAATTTGTGGTTGATTTTTTTCAAAGACAGACTTTAATTTTTAGAACAGTTTTACATTTACAGAAAAATTGAGAAGATAGTTCAGAGCATTCCCATGTAATCTGCATCCAATTTCCCTATTAGTGTGGCACATTTGTTACAATTAATGAACTAATACTGATCCA